TACACAAAAGATATAAAACATTATATGAAGTTCTAGAAAAGGCAAAAAGAACCTATGTTAGAAAAAAATCTCAACAGCAGTTACCTTTCTTAGATGGAAAGAGGTAACAAAGGAATTCTGTGAGGTAATGAAAATGTCCTCAAGCTCTATTTGGGGGAGAACTACATATAAGCATACATTTATCAAAATTCTTCGATTGTACATTTAAGATTTGTGCATTCTAAAATTATCATTAGCAAAAAAATTAAAAATACCCATTGTCTTCAAAGTAACAATAAGATGGAGGTTGACTTCTCAACAGAAATCAGAGTCCAGAAGACAACTGCATGGTGTCTTTATTTATTTCTTTATTTATTTTTAATGTTTTTATTTATTTCTAGGAGAGAGAGAGAGAGAGACAGTGTGAGCAGGGGAGGGTCAGAGAGAGAAGGAGTCACAGACCGAAACAGGCTCCAGGCTCTGAGCTGGCAGTCTGCACAGAGCCCGATGCGGGGCTTGAACCCACGAACCGCGAGATCATGACCTAAGCGAAAGTCGGATGCTTAACCGACTAAGTCACCCAGGCGCCCCAACTGCATGGTGTCTTTAACGTGCCAACACAAAGAGCACCCTGGGTGGCTCAGTTGGTTAAGTGTCCAACTTTAGCCCAGGTCATGATCCCACGCTTCCAGGGTTCAAGCCCCATGCTGGGCTCTATGCTGACAGCCCAGAGCCTGGAGCCTGCTTCAGATTCTGTGTCTCCCTCTCTTCCGGCCCCTCTCCTGTTTGTACTCTGTCTGTCTCCCAAAAATAAATAAACATTAAAATTTTTAAAAATAATAATAAAGTGCTGAGGGGGAAAAAATCCTGACAAGCTAAAATGCTCTGCCTAAAGTATTTTTCTAAAATGAAATAAATGAAATAAAGGCCTTTTCAGGCAAACACAAAGTGAGGGAATTTTGTAACTCTGAAGGAAATGATTAAGGGAGCTCTTCAAGCCAAGAGGAAAATGACCCAGATGGAGTTATGGAAATGCCACAGGTAATGAAAACCACTAGAAAAGGAAGATATGAAGGAACATATAATAAAATACGACTGCAAAAACTGACTGCAAAGATCCTTTTAGCAGCTCACCTAGGCAGGAATCTTGGGAGAGCCCTCTGTCCACCATCCATGGCTCTATTCTGAATTCTAGGTGAGCAACAGTATCTGGCTTTTGGAGTCCAAGGTCCTGCCAAATGAGTGATCAACTTGTGAGGTTTTGGTTTTGTTTTGTTTTGTTTTAATATAAATTTTGTTTGTAAGAACATTTTGTTTTATTTTTTAAGTAAGTTCTATGCCTAAGGTGGGACTTGAACTCATGACCCAGAGATCAGGAGTCGCATGTTTTAGGAACTGAGCCAGCCAGGTGCCTCAGGCTGGGAGGTCTGATGAAGGGAAATACTCCAGTGACCCCACATTCCCAGCTATGTCAAACCCACTCTGCCAAGACCCCAGGCAAATAGTTGACATGGGGAGTGGCCTCACCCACGGAAACTAGGTGCCTTAAAGTCTCCAGCATCATATCCTGGTACCTGGTCTCTGGGCAGGGCCCAGCAGCCACCACTCCTCCCTGGGTGAAGCCCACCACCACATCATCAAAGGTTATCTGCCCCTGCAATGTCACCCACACGTCTGCTGAGCCACATCCTTATTCTTGGAAAGTTCCCTGAAGATCAGGGAGGGGCTATGTGGGAATGTGAGTGTGCAGCCAGGGGTACAGGGAGATGTCCCGAAAGGGTCTGGCTTCCAAGGGATGATACACCTGAGCCTTCCTGGGGGCACCAGGGGTCTGCATCAGCCATTTCAGAGGTGAGCCCGCATCACCCTGAAATGTATACCCCCTACGTATCTCACCCATTTATTGACCAACTCGTGATCTTCTATAAAACCAAAATGTACAGTTCTCTTTAGGCTTCCCCTTCCTGTCCCCTTCCTTTTTTATACCAAGGTTGCCAAGGGTTCTCTCTCCACGCTGGGCACTGTACTTAAGTAAGCATTTTACCCAACAGAAATTTTCTTAATCCTCACAACAGTCTTAGGAAGCACTTCCCAGTTCCCGGGCTCTGTTTGTTTGTTTGTTTGTTTGTTTTTTCAAATGAGGAGCCTGAGCTCAGAGTTTACACGTTTGGTAACCATGGTCACGTTGGCTTCATTAAAAACAAATTGAGAGATGTCCGCTCTTTTAGACACATCATTCCAGACGACTGAAAGACGGGAACGGTTTGCTCCTTACAGGTGCGGTAGCTGAAGCCGTCTGGAATGCGGGTCTGGAATTTTCTTGCTGGGAGGTTTTGCTTAGGTCCTCAATGGTTACAGGATTTCAGGGATACATATGAGCACCGCAGGATTACTGAGGTTGTCCACGTCCCTCCGCCGGCACGACGGCTGAGAAGACGGACGGGGATGACGACCCAAGGCTGACAAGCGAAGATAGACTCCCACCCAAGCTTTGGGCCAAGAGTCCAGGCCCAGCCCGGGGAGGGAGGGCGAGTGGCCACTCACCGGGGGGCAGGCTGCCAGGATCCCCACGGCCATCGCCTCTGCTGACCCCGAGGTCCTCACGGAGTCACCTGCAGCCCCACCCCCTCCTCACACCGCCCGGCGCTCTCGCGAAGGACACCCCGGCGCAGCCCCGAAGTGGACGAGCCGGCGCCGCGCCTTCCGTGGCGGGAGGGCATCCCGGCGGACACGACGGCACCACCCCGAGGGGCGCACCAGGCACTGGCGCCCAGCGCAGCCTCCCCGCCCGACGGCGGGGCCGGGCGCGAAGCGGAACTAGCAGGACCAGAAAGCCCCGCGCCGGGCCGAGGACTCCGGAGCGTCGGACCGCCGCCGCATGTGTGTTCCGGGAGTTGTAGTCTTACGGCCGGAGCCCCGGCTCTGTCCAGCAGTTACTACAACGGAGCGCCCAGAGAGTCAGACTACATTGCCCAGAAGGCGCGGCGGTGCGGTAGCCACGCAACGGACGTGCACGACCGGGCCCGAGCCGAGGATCGGACCCTTCCTGGACGAGTAGTCCAAACCCCCCGGCCAGGCGTCGGCTGCAGAGAAACGGGTTTCTCTCACTATGACTTCCAAAAGCTACCGTTTTCCAGGCTTCTGATCTCCAGAAGCGCGCAGTCGGCGGCTCCGGAGAGTCTGGGAAGCCTCGGGAAGAGTTCTAAATTATAGGGAATTCTTCGCCCACCAGGTGGCAGGGTGGTCACCCAGGGTCTTGTACTACACCTCCCAGAAGGCCCTGCGGCGGCGCGGCAACGCCCGCTGGTGGAGATGCGGCCTTCACGAACGCACCTACCTAGGCACGAAGTCAAAATCGGTGTCTTCACGTGCTTTTTGTGTGAGTCAGAGGCACGTATTCCAGTGTTATCTCCACGTCTGCGTGTTTCTGTTCATTGAGTGAAGGCAGGCATCCCTCGTTCCTCCATCCAGTGTGATGCGTGCTCCCCACTTAATCACTCTGGTGTCATAGTCGAGATTTTCACGTTTATGGTTTCTCGGCGGTAGCGCAACATTAGACTTTGCGTGGGTCGTTTTGTTCTCCGTTTGGAGAAGTAAGATGTGGAGAAGCTCTCCTATACCGACAACCGGTATGGTCAAAACTCTGAGCGCGAAACATGGGTTTAGGAAGGCGGGTACAGACATAGCCCTGGGTCCCCTTTCGTTGGAATCCTGGCCTGACCTCCCTCGGGCGTGTGTGAGGTTGAGGCGAGCATTTCTTGCCTTCCAAAGGTAGGCATCTGGCGGAGCGCTGAGCCCCGACCTAGCGCTTGGTGGAAGAGGGTTTCCACGGACTTTTCCTTTTCATATCGCAGCCAATTTCCCCACAGGGCCGATTCACAGACCCATGCTCTCTATGCAATTCTTGCTGGTTCTTTAAGGAATTTTCAAAACCTCTTCCTTACGGAGAATTTTGTACATACACAAAAGCAGGCAACCATTATGTAGCCTCAGTCACCATCAACCCAGGGGGAGTCCCCACCGACCAGACCCAGCCACTCTGCCATTCTGTGTCATTTGAAAGCGAATCTCAGTGTTTTGTATCCTATTTTAACTACAATATGTAATTACAAAAACAAGGACCATTTTCTAATAGAACCATAATTCCATTATAAATTTTTTAGAAAAAAATAATTTTGTGGGCGCCTGGGTGGCTCAGTCAGTTGAGCCTCTGACTTCAGCTCAGGTCACGATCTCATGGTTGGTGAGTTCCAGCCCCACAATGGGCTCTCTGCTGTCAGTGCAGTGTCTGCTTCTGATCCTCTGTCTCTCTCTCTTTCTCTGTCTCTGCCCTGCTGGCACTCTCTCATTCACCAAAAAATAAACATTAAAAAAAAAAGACTTTCAAAAAAGATTTTACTATTGAATATTCAGTATTCCAACTTAAAATTATCTCCGCTTTTTAAAAATGTTTATTTTTGAGAGAGTGAGAGACAGAGCACAAACAGGGGAGGGTCAGAGACAGACGGAGACACAGAATCCGAAGCAGGCTCCAGGCTCTGAGCTGTCAGCACAGAGCCCAGCATGGGGCTCAAACTCACAAGCTGCGAGATCATGACCTTAGCTGAAATCAAACGCTTCAGCAACTGAGCCACACAGGCACCTCTCCCCTTTTTAAAATAGTTTGAGCAGGGGCGCCTGGGTGGCTTAGTTGGTTAAGCGTCCGACTTTCGCTTAGGTCATGATCTCACAGTTCGTGGGTTCGAGCCCCGCATTGGGCTCTGTGCTGACTGCCAGCTCAGAGCCTGGAGCCTGTTTCAGAGTCTGTGACTCCCTCTCTCTCTGACCCTCCCCTGCTCACNCCCCGCATTGGGCTCTGTGCTGACTGCCAGCTCAGAGCCTGGAGCCTGTTTCAGAGTCTGTGACTCCCTCTCTCTCTGACCCTCCCCTGCTCACGCTGTCTCTCTCTCTCCTGGAAATAAAAATAAATAAATAAATAAATAAATAAATAAATAAATAAATAAATAAAATAAAATAGTTTGAGCAGCCCAGCCGATCGTGGGCACGTCCCGATGGTTCAGGAACATTGCTAGGACCAGCACGGTCAGGCTGGCCAGCGTGAGCACCACTCAGGTCAGCATCAACCCAGGGGCTTCTCAAAGACCAGGAAGGTGCCCGTCCTGGGCAGGCAGCGGACTCTGGCCTGGCTCAGGTACTGGTTCTTGGAGCACAGAAGACATTTATTTCTTCATGTCTGTGGGAGACATAGAGTCATGCCTGCCATGTGATGGTAAGGGGGCCAGCTACATGGAGGGAGGATCCCATGAGCATTCCACATATTCCATGTATTGATTCATTCACTTCTTCTTTCTTCTAGCTTTGTTGACAAATAAGTGTAACATATTTAAAGCGTACGTCATGATGATTTCCCTGCTGGCAGATCTGGCTGGACCCTGGAACTCGGGCTGCAGGCAGAGGACGGGTGAGCAGAGGGTGTTGTCAGTGACCAGTCCAGGGGCAGGGGCTGGGTTCCTGTGGGAACAGCCCAGGGGAGCATTCCAGTGTCCTTCCCACACAAGAAGACAAGGCTCCTTCCAGCAGAAAAACACCAGAGTTCCAGTAAAGTCAGACTGGAGAGGCACCCACGGATGCAGCAAATGAAATGAGGCTTCAGGTGGCTCTGATGGTGGCAAGCCTGGTAACACTGTGCACAGCGGTGCCGTTCCAGTCTCTGGGGCACCTACATAAAGAACATGGGTACTAATCTCCCCCCTCCACAACCTTCTCTTGGACAGCCAGTGGGTCTGCTCAGGACTTGCAAAGAGATGGTCTGACTCCTTGAGCCCACCTCCTACCTGAGGGCAAGAGTCAGGTGGAAGGAGGCTGGGGGTGAGAATGTCTTTGAGGGAAGCACTGGGGTGCTGGGTCCTCGACCCCCAAAGCAGAGCACCGTGTTCTTCCCTCTCAGGCCAGTTGAAAGGGACTTCAAGAGAATCCTCTGAATGTGGTCCAAGGATGGGCATCTACTCTCACTTGGGAAATCTGAAGGCCATCAATGACTGGAGGAGCCGAGAACAAAGGAGAATGGGGTTTCAATGGAGGGAGTCACACACCCACTGCTGGCTGGCGTCAGGGGGGCCAGGATGTCTCTGTGAGCCACCGCGGACACCTGGACACACCTACCTGAAGCTGGCAACTATGTTAATAAACAAAACAGCCCCCCCCCCCCCGCCTCCTAGACACTTTATGGGAATGTGTGGAGTGGAGTGTTTTTCCATCTTCCAAGTAAATTCTCCACCTCTTCACCAAACAGGCCCCTGAGTACAGACAAGAAGAACAATTCTCTTTAAAAAAATGCGGACAGTGTGGAACAGACCGTTGACAGTTTTCTGCCCTTGGAAAATGTCAAAATCTGTAACCGTCTCCATTAGCATCAAAGACAATCTCTGCCCCATTCGGGATCTTGAAATGCACCTTCCTGAGAGGACACAGAAGCTATAGAAAGGAAGGGTGATGTCATAGACAGGGGAGGGCCTGTCCCTGGGGTCTGTCCTAAATGCCACAAGCCAATGACCCTGTGATGAGCAGGTGAAACTCCAGGCAGGGCCAACTTATTCACAAGACCCATGAAAATATTTGAATTTTACCCATTTGTAAACTCAGAAGAAAAAAAATCAGGGAGCTCACGGGTGGTTCAGTTGGTTAAGTGTCTGACTTCAGCTCAGGGCATGATCTCAGGTTCGTGGGTTGGAGCCCCACACTGGGGTCTGTGCTGACAACTGGGAGCCTGGAGCCTGCTTCAGATTCTGTGTTTCCCTCTCTCTCTGCCCCTCCCCCACTTGCTCTCTGTCTCTCTCTCGAAAATGAATAAACAAAAAAAATAAAAGAATCTATAAAGTTATAATGGATATGTAATAATGAACGGAGACTGGATTATGTTTGCTTAGATAGCAAGGGAGTAGTAAAATATGATTTTTGATTTTTTTAAAAATTAAAAAAATACTTTTTAAAATTTATTGCTGAGAGAGAGGGAGCAGGGGAGGAGCAGACAGAGAGGGAGACACAGAATCTGAAACAGGCTCCAGGCTCTGAGCTAGCTGTCAGCACAGGGCCCGACGCAGGGCGCGAACCCACGAACCGCAAGATCATGACCTGAGCCAAAGCCGGACACTTAACCGACTAAGCCACCCAGGCGCCCCTTGATATTTTTTTTTAAAGGAGAAAAGGACTGGGGCACCTAGGTGGCTCAGTCGGTTAGCGTCTAACTCTTGATTTTGGCTCAGGTCATGATCTCATGGCTCGTGAGTTCGAGCTCCTCACCAGTCTCTGTGCTGACAGTGCAGAGCCTGCTTGGGATTCTTTCTCTCTTTCTCTCTCTCGAAATAAATAAATAAACCTAAAAAAAAAAAATGAGGAAAGGCCAACAAAAGTCATCGCGCAGCGGTGGCCCCAGGAACCCTGTCCGGCCTGGTGCTCCCTTCCTCAGCTTCCCCACTAACCCCCCCCCCGCCCCGCCCGGAGAGCCCCAAACCCCACTGGGCCCACACAGCCTGGCATCTCGCCTTGTGGGCCTGATACCTCGAGAGGGTCTCCCCTGCCTCCTCTGTCCCCGCCATGTGACTGCTCCGGCCCGTCGTCACTGAAGAGAGCCGTCTCTGTCCTGCCTTCCAGGCTTGAGCAGAGTGAGCGTCCCGCCACCAGCCCCTCCCCGAGTCATCCACACCTTACTCTGTCACCGTCACCTGCCAAAGCTGTAAGTGCTGCATCCTGTTCCTGTGCCCTGCAGGGCAGGGGTGAGGTCCCTGCTATTCGCTTCCCAGAAAGGGTGCTCCCAGCCCCTCAGACTCCTGTTCCCTGAGCAGAGCCCCACTACCCCGCCCCCCTGCTGTTCTCCACTGGCCCTGGCTCCTGCAAGGCCACGCGTGCCCTAAGATGGCTTCCCAGACCACTCCATGAACTTGCCTTCCAGGGTATAGGTGGAGCGCAGGTGAACAGAGACCTCAGGGCCGCCAGGGCCGCTGTGCTGTGGACACAGAAGGCCTGCAGGGCAAGCAGAAGATTCAGGGGTGCTCAGGGTGGGCCATGTGGCTGCAGCTGCCCCGGCCTGCCCAGGGCCACTGGGCCCAGCAAGCCCTGCAGGGTCCCGGGGAAACTGGGGGGGGGGGGGGG